CACCAGCTTTAGGGGGAATGTTGGAAATAGAAAAATACATCTATGTTTCCCACTAAAATGAATATTTAAGTTTTAGGTTCATGTATATTTAGATTCATGCATTTAGGAAGTTGGACTATTATTTATTTCTCCTTGTAAACATAATATGTAATTAGTTATATAGTGTGTATAAATATCATAGTTGTTGAGTGTTCTACTAACTCATGCACATTCAAAAAAATTCTTATTTTTATTTTCATAAACAATATTATAAGATGAGTTTTTTTAGAGAAAAATGTCAAAGATGTCAAGGTTCGATATCAAATGTTAGTGGAAAAGTTTATTTATTAGGCACACACTAGACCGAATTTGACATATGCAATCAGTGTGGTGAGTCAATTCATACATGATCTGAGGGTGAGACACTTACAGGCTATAGACCGTGTTTAACAATATCTCAAAGTCACTCCAAAAAAGAACTCTTGTTTAAAAGAGTTCTCTTATAGGCTATAGACCTTGTTTAACAATATCTCAAAGCCCGTAAGAAATGGTGTTACTGAATAGTCATCCAGTTGCCCGAGGCGACTACCATGATATAACCATAGCTTCTTCCCCCGTCCATAGTATATCATGGAAGACCAGAGAACTCTGGTATCTGAAGGATCTCTTCTCACAACATTTCACGGTGTCCCGACGGTATTCGAAGACGGAGGCCGCCCTGGGCACAATCATCCAAGCCCCGGATGAACCTCTCAGAAACTACATTAAGAGATTCATGAGGGAAGCAGTCCAGATGACGACTTCAGACGATATGAAGCATTACCTCATGGAGCAAGGCCTACGTCGCGGCTCCAAATTCTACGAGGCCGTAGCAATCCACCGACCAATCACCCTGCAAGGCTTCCTCGAGAAAGCCCGTCACTACATCCAGTACGAGGAAACAGAGGCTGCTAATTCTGCTAGGGAATCCCGCAACCATGAAACCCCCTGCGGGTCCCGAGAAGAAGGAGCGTCAGCCCCCCGGCATGGGGGAGACCGACAACGAGATGATCGTCCCCGAGAGCATAAGGGATTTGTAGGCCGCTTCACCGAATACACAACCCCAGTCGCTTCCCGCGAGCACATACTAGCTGAGTGCACCAACTCGGAGTTCATTCGGGAAGGTGTTCGTTTTCCCAAACCAGCACCCCCCCGAGGCCAACATGGACAAGTCCAAATATTGCCGCTTCCACCGGGGCCACGGGCACGTTACGGAGGATTGCATCCACCTGAAAGATGCAATCGAAATACTCATCAAGGATGGACATTTGAAGAGATACACCAAGGGAGGAGATGCCCCCCCGACAAGAGGCCCATGAAGCCAAAAGAGTCGAGGACATCCCTCCTCCCGCAAACGAATCCGGGCTATAGGTGGCCCTCAGCATTAGTCGGCCTGAAGACTGGTTCTCACTAAGAGAACACAACCTGCCTACCGGGCATTAGCTGCCCGAGGAACTAGTGATCTGAGAGTGCTAGGTAGTTGCCTCGTCACTGCGGACGGGGAAACTAGCCAACTCTTTTAATTTAAATCATGGTACTATCATGGTCTTTAGACCTAACAGTATCTCAAAGCTCGTAAGAAATGGTGTTACTGAATAGTCATACAGTCTAAAAATACTTAATTGAAATGATTGTTATAACTTCAAATACTAATGTTAGTTCCAACAATATGTATGTAGTTGTACATATACACACAAACACATAGGTATGGTATTGTAAATATGTTTTTGGCAGTTCACTTGTACCATGAATCTTTCGATTCTCATATTAATTAAGAAATGTTTGCTTCACAATTTTGTCCTACAAACTATGAAAGGATATGACAGCAAGCCTGCCCCCTGGTGCAAGGCAGTCAAAACAAGAATAGAGAGAATCCTCGAGAGTTTTCAGTTCGTCATGGACCGCAATTCTCAATGCTTAAAATACTAGGGTTGCTGTCTTTATCCAACCTTGCATTCAACCTGTTGTTGCAGTGCAATCAAAATGCGGTTCGATCAGAAATGGCATATGCATGATAAATGAGGCTTATAGTCCTAGAGAGAAAAAAATATAGTTGCAATAGAAAGTTGTAGAAGGAAGAGTTACCTTTCATTGCGGGAGTCACACGTTTAATAAGATCCAGCAAGTCGGTAGTGGAATGTAATTCACCTTCTAAACGGGCTTGGACAATTTTCTTCTGCAAAGTACGCCAATTACTTTCTTCTCCATAATCTTAGAGGTGGTAATTGAATTCATTAAAGTAAAATCCATTCATCAAAAAATTCATTCAATCCATCCACCACATAAAAAATAAGTTAATGGATTTGATTAAATTCATCCATTTATATGCATTGATGAATTCAATTCATCTAACATATTTTAAGGATCCAATGAATTATTTTTATTTTCGTTAGATTTATTTTTTTTAAAATAATTAAAAATAGAATTTAAAAAAAAAAGAATTGATTTTTTTAATTAAAAAATTGATTTTTTTCGAAAAAGAAAATTTTTTTTCCAAAATAAAAAATTGATTTATTTTCAAAAAAAGAAATTGATTTTGTTTCCAAAAAAAGAACGATTTTTTTTTCAAAACAAAAAGCCAATTTTTATTTTATAAAAAAAACAGATTTTGAATTTTTTTTCCGAAATAAAAACCAATTTAAAAAAAAAATTAAAATATCAATTTTTTTTCTTGAAAATACAAAAAATAATATCTTTTTAACAAAAAATTCAATTTTTTCATGAATATATTAAAAATAATTTTTTTTAATACAAAAAATAAACTTTTCAAAAATAAAATAAAAATATATATTTAATTTTTTGAAATAAAAAAAAAGGTTGGATGGATGAATATCCATCCATTAAAAATATATTAATGAATTAGATGGATTTTATTCTTAACGGATGGATTGGATTGAATCATTTTAAAAAAAATTAATAGATTGTTAATAGACTAATAAATTGTTTTGATCCATCCATTAACAATTCAATTCATATCTATGCAATTCATCCATTTTGCCAACCATACATAATTCCTTAGAATACGGCCCATATCTTCTGCTTTAAGGCTTGCCTATCATAGGCATGTCCATCAGTTTAATAGGAAACAAAAATTATATACTACTCCACAGTAAACTGACTAAAAATATGATTCCGCGTAAAAGTATGTTGCAATGATGTGTAAAAGGAAATAGGCGTGTTTTATTAGCGAAAAAGATTTGAAGAAAGCCATCAAAGAAACTCCCAACATAGCTTAGAATTTAGATAGATACACAAGTCAGGCCGTATATCCAACAAAAAGGTATCAGAGAAATAGCAATACAGGTAAGGGGTTGGAGTTGGACCGTCCAGATTAATGGAAGAGAGAGTCTGCAAAGTAAAGAAAAAATTCAACACTAAACAACATTCACATGATAGCACCACTTTTCAGTTTTCACTGCTACAAATCGATGAGCAAATTGCACCTATTCTACAAGTAATCACTTTACAATCATATCCATTCTTTCTTCAAAGAATATAAATTTTACATTGAACTCTGAAATGCATTAAGCTATACGTGAGGATCCATGCACATATCAAGGGGTCCATCGCCAAGATATTGCGAAAGATTCAAAACACTCGACCACTATTCCACCACCATAAGATTAGACATAACCATGGTTTTCAATCACATTCTACAACCACAAAACTTAGCAATTCAATACATCTTCAAACAATAAACATAACCACAATTTAAAACCATGAATGCGCCACAACAACACAAGAAAGCAATCAATGTATATTAGGTAATGTCGGAAAATGTACCTGCATAGATGACATTCCGAGGTCCATCAAGATGCCATCAATAGACGCAACCCCCAAGTGTTCCTCGCCTGTTCCTCTAAGCACAGACTTGATGTATCTAAAATTCCTTAACATGGTAAACACTTTCACACTAGACTCGCTATCGTCCAAAACTGAACCGATCTGCGATTTAGCTACGTCGCTGGCCACAGGATCCACATCAATCCCAACAAAATACTTCTGACTTAACCGATCTGCGATTTAGCTACGTCGCTGGCCACAGGATCCACATCAATCCCAACAAAATACTTCTGACTCTGGATGTCCTCTAATCACCTATTCCATCATTCATTCTTTCAATACATATCAAATTAGATTCGCTACTTTGAGTTTATGATTAGTTGCGACTATACATACAAATAGAAAGCAGTAACTTGTAATGGGAGAAATTGATGGATTTGATACTACTAACATAATTGGAGAAATTGATGGATTTGATACTACTAACATTGGTGGAGTGGCCAGCCGCGCCAAGAGTGCAATCAACATTAAAATATATTTAACCCAAAAATTAAAAATAGGCAATTTAAGTAAAAATAAAAAAATAAAAAACACAGGTAATTTGCTCCACACACAATAAAAACAGATAAAACAGATAATCTGCTTTTCATCTTTAAACCTTTTTTTACTACTGATGAAAAACTGCGAGTACAATTCTAAATTTATGGATATGTAGGACATCGAAGGTACAAACAAATTTATAAATACAGATATTTGTTAGAGCTCCAAACAGTAATCTCAAACATTATTTTCAAAGCTTCGAAATAACCCTCGGGTATATCATTAGTTTTTAATATTCATGAAAATAGCAGGTTGAGTATATATCAATCATTCTTGCAAATTAGCAGGTTCAGTAGGTCGTTTGACATTTCATTAAGAGGAAAAACACACAAAACTGACAGACAAGCCAGAATTCAACTTGAAATCTAAGCAAACATGAACAATAGTTCAAAAATTAAAAAAATTACATGCTTTTAAACAGCAGAAACGCAAGACAACAAAAAAAAGACTTAAGTCCACATTCAAATGCTAAAGTACAAAATCAGCATTCTAAATCCTTGAACACGGTATTTGATTTTGATGCTTTCCCTTGAACTAGATTTGAATTTGGTTTTCTGAGAGTAATCCATATGGATATAAACTTCATTTTCCTGCTCAAACTACTCCCTTCTGTGCTTTCTTTCTCCCTCATCATCATTCCTTCTATAATGCCTTCTTTCTTCATGCACATGATCATCATCATCCCTTCTGCGCTTTCTTTCTCCATGATAATCCTCACCCCCTCTGTGCTTTCTTTCCTCACGAACATCCTCATCCCTAGACCTCCTTCTCTCCTTATAATCATCCTCATCCCTAGAGCTCCTTCTCTCCTTATAATCATCCTCATCCCTTGAGTTCTTCCTTTCTTTGTGATCTTCCTCGTTCCTTGAGTTCTTTACTTCTCCACTGCCAACCCCATCCCTTTTGTTTGGTGCCTCTCTTCTTTCCTCACGAAGATCCTCATCCCTGTACCTCTTTCTCTCCTTGTAATCATCCTCACCCCTTGAGTTCTTTCTTTCTTTGCGATCATCCTCATCTCTTGAGTTCTTTACTTCTCCACTGCCAATCCCATCCCTTTTGTTTGGTGCTTCTCTATAGCGGCCCTCATTCCTCAAGTGATTTCTTTCTCCATAATCATCTTCATTCTTTATGGTCTTTCTTCCCGTACGATCATCCTCAATCCTTCTGATTTTTGTTTCTCTATAATCACCCCCATCCCTAGAGCTCTTCTTCTCTCCACGGCTATCCTCGACCCTTGAGTTCTTTCTCTCTCCAATGCCACTTTCATCCCTTTTGTTTTGTGCTTCTCTATGATGACCATCATCCCTTAATTTCTTTCTTTCTTCATAATCATCCCCATCCCTCAAGGTCTTTCTTCCTGTACGTTCATCCTCAATCCCTCTAATCTTTGTTTCAATGTGATCATCCTCATCTCTCATGTGCTTTCTTCCTTTAGGAAAATCTCCATCCTTTTCGTGTTTTCTCTCTCCACGACCATCTTCATCATCTCTTAAGCTCTCTTTCTCTCGGTGAACTTCCTTGCCTATTTTATGTTTTCCATCTCTTGAATCATCTTCATCCCTTAAGTGCTTTCTTTCTGTACGCTCATCTTCATTCCTTCCATGTTTTTTTCCTCCATGGTCATCCTGATCCCTTTTATAATCATTCTCATGTCTTCCCTTCCTTCTTGTTTCATAATCCTCCCTATTCCGATCAATCCGTCCAACAGATTGTGATTCAACATCCTTGTTATAATTTCTGCCTCTCTGCTCAGAAGTTTCAATATCATCGCCTCTGAGCCTAGCTGACTTAGAATAACCCTCTTTTTCTTGACTTTCATATTGATAAATTCGAGATTTTAACTCAGACTTCCTACCCTCTCCATCATGCTTAGCCAATTTGATAGTCTCCCTATCTCTATCTTCATCAATATTCTTGTCACCCTTTGCCATTACTTGACTTCTAGGATTTGGATCCTCTTCATCAATACCTCTGTCATTTATTTCCTCCTTTGGCCCACCTCTCTTGGCTACAAACCCACCTTTTCTAGTCCTTTCATACCTGCGATCACTATCACTGCTACCTGAATCAGAGTCACTGCTACTATCATCAGAGGAAGAGTATGACCGCCTTTTAACATGTTTGTCTTGTCTTGAAGCATGCCTAACACCGACTCTACCAGAATCCTCATTAGTAGAACCATACCTCTTCATTTTATCCTTATTAGTAGAACCACACCTCTTCATTTTCTGCATATCCAGTCTACTGTGTTTCTCAGCCTCACTATCAGAATCAGATTCCTCTTCAGAATCATGGCGTTTGCTCATCTTTGTATGTCCCTTCACTTCTTTAGTCCTATGCCTAGGCAAGCCTTCATGATGATCAGAATCACTATCAGAATCATGCTTCTTACTTGCTTTTGCTGGTTTTTTATTACTTTTTCTTGCCCTGTTGCTGTCATCAGAATCAAAAGTAAAATCAGTATCATCATTGCCCTCCACCCCGCCTTTCTTGTGGTACAATGATGTCTTCTGCTTCTTGTTAGCCTTGACCTTCCTCTGAGCAGATTCATCATTACTGTCTTTTTTCACTCTACTGTGCTTCCTTCTACCTGCCTTCTCGTCATCCGTACTGCTGTCTGAATCAGATGAATCATTCGTGTGCTTTTTCTTGAGAGTCCCACCCTTCCTGTGGTGCTTTGTGTCTTTAACACTCTTTTTCTTGGTATTTTCTTCGTTTAGAACTTCTTCCGGTTGTTTCTTCCGACTGAAATCTCTGTCCAAAAAGGAATGTTCAGAAATATGTTTTGCATCCGGAACAGATACACCCCTTCCATTTCCAATCTCCTCGTCATTCCCATCTGCATTCAATTCACCGGGTTCAGATGAAGCTATGCCAAGAGCAGCTTTCAATGTTTCCATCTGTTTTTCCTTTCTAGCAGCAATTTGGTGAGTCTGTGTATCAGAAACCCTGAAATTTCACAAAAGAGCTTATTTAAGAGATACCTAGGTATTAACTTTTCACAAAATTGTGATGAGTGTATTTATATAGGGCATTGAGAATTTGTATATTTCAATTTCTTTTTCATGAATAAAAAGACATTCTAAAATTATTCTATGTATAGAGAATCTGTATATTTCAAATAAAAATTATGAATAAAAAGGTATTCTAAAATTATTTCTGTGAATAAGTATTAAGATTAAGAACAAATTGAAATCTGAAAAAAATTACAATTACATGATTTTTGCAAACTACTGAGTTGATTTTTACAAAAAAAATTAGTAACCAAACAAAAAAGAAAAACATAAGCTTTACACAAATCCCTACAAAATAAATCATGATTTTAAACAACCTATAAATCACATTTTCAAGCCTAAGCAAATAGGCCGTTAACATTATCCTGAAGCAATGTCTAATTGCATCCAATTCCAAATCGCCCACTTGAAACCGGACATAATTCAACATGAAAACCTTTTATTTAATTAAAAGATTATACAATTCATAAACTATCCAAAATATGAATACTAGAGACAAAAACAATTTCATGGCAACCAACAATTCACATAGAACAGAGACAATTCAAACAAACAGTGTAAAGATCAAATCATTAGTCTAACAGAAATATCAAAATAACTTACTTATCCAAATTGGACGATCCATCATTTTCATCAGCTGCAGCTTCCAAATTAATCCGAGCCTCCTCAAGTTTCTCGGCAATCTCAGACTCGGTATAACCCTGATCAATTAGTTTGTCTTCAAGGATAACAAGCTTGAGCTGAATCTGACGCTTGCGGTCATGCTCAAGAATCTCTTTGTTGGCCTTTCTGGTAACCCCAGCAGTACCCTGATCTGCTTCAAATCCCTTCGCGTTCTCAGCAACCTTTGAAGTTCTAGGCTTCACGAAAAACTTGTTGCTCTGAATGTACCCATTGGTACCTGAACCTCTTGGGGTTTGTAACCCTATTCCGTTATACATATTGTTCACAACAAATCAATCTGCAACAGAAACCAGAAAAAAAATTAGAAACCCTAATTTCAATGACAATTTTCCGATCTTAAATATATCTGACCCAATCAAATTGAAAACCAAATTTATTGTTGTTAAAACCCAAGTATAAACATAATTAATCAAAATTAAGCATCAAACAATGGTTTTTTTTGGGAGAAAAGAGATAAGAATACAAATATACCTGTAAGATATAAGAAGATGCGGTGGGTGACGGATGGTGCAAGGGAGATGCGGTGGGTGACGGAGGCTGTGCGATAATCTAGGTTTTCGATACTGCGGGATCGTGCTTGAGAGGGAGGGGAGTGAAGGAAATGAGAGTTTTGATGTAGTTTTAAATTAAAAATAAATTGAGACTGTTCTCAGTAGAATATATTTGAAGATTTATTTTACTGCATATCCCCAATTTTAATAGTTATTAATAGCAATTGAATTGAAGACATTAATTCAATTCTATTTAAAAGAAATCTGCATAAAATTCAAAATTTCAACAGAGGCCCAATCCACTTTTTGAATTTCTTTAATTTATTATTTTAGTATAATTAAAAAAAATTTATCTTATACCTCTACAATTATACGCATACTTCTACATTAAAACTTTTTGGACCAAAACATTCTAGTATAAAAAATTATACGAGAAGACTTTTTCGTTTGTTCACCCGAAGACTTTTTTGCAAGTCTTTCACATTTTTTTCGTTTGTTTATCGGAAGACTTTTTGCAAGTCTTTCGGTTCATGTTTTTTTTTTATATTAAAAGTTAAAATAAATTAATATGTATAATTAATTTGGTGCTACAATGGGTTACACATCTATTTTTTGGCGTGAGTTTTTTTCTTTAACTTTTTATTTAATTAAATTAAATAATTAAAAACACGAATGTTGTCATTTTAAACAACCAAATTGTCATTTAGTTAAATAGTTGAAAACGTGGGGTGTCTTTTTTTTTATTTTATAAGTTTTTTATTTAATTAAGCAACCATAAAGATGGAGGTGGAGGTTTTCAATGTTATTATTTATGATTTAATTAGTTGTTAATATTTTAAAAGTTAATAATTATTGTTTAAATAATTATAAATGTTATATATTATAATTTTTTGGTGAAAATTTTTGATAGAAGAAATGATAGGATTATATTGGAACTTTAATTGATTAGAGTGGGAATTGGAAACTTTTGTTGATAATTAATGAGCAATAAATGAATACAAGTAAGAACTAATATAGAAGTGAATTTGAAAAGATTCATTTTTAGTCACACATTGAAGGGAATGAAAATTAAGATTCATTTTAGTCCCACATTGAAGGGAATGGAAATTAAGATTCACTTTAGTCCCACATTGAAGGAATGAAAATTAAGATTCAATTTAGTCTCACATTGAAGGGAATGGAAATTAAGCCTTACTAGCTGCCTATAAATACAGGGTAGAAATTCAGTAATGAGCACATCGGATTTCACAAATTCACACGAATTTTGATTTCCTTCTTCTCTCCCTTTATTCTCTTCATCTTACAATTTTTTCTTTTCTTGACTGGTTATTTGCGCCAGATACTAATTCAGAAAGGTGTATTTCTAGAGCGATTTATCAGTGTGTAACTGATAATCGTAAGTTTTAAGAACGGGCTGTTTTATCCTGGAGGCGTCGTCGTAAATCGACTGCTTTGCATAATTTGGCAGTACGGCGAAACGTCTTAAAGAAAGCGACCTAGTACGCGACTCGTCCCGATAATTTCCTTGTGCCAAACTCAATTTTTTAAATCCGAAAACAACAATTTTAAGACGTTTTAATAACTGCCATGGCAACTGAGGAAATTATCGGTACTACTGCGGCCGCTTCGGTCTCTGACAAACCTTTCAGGTTTGAGGGTTCCAATTTCAAACGTTGGCAAGCTAAGATGAAATTTTTCTTAACTCTGGAAAAGGTTGCCCACGTTCTGACTGAGGATATCCCGGTTGTCCCTTCTGCATCATCTGAACTACCTAACGGTAACTCACTTGCAGATTCAGACGGGATTTCCAAAATGTCTGACTCAGATGCTGCAAAAGCTAAGGCTGCCGCAGATGATCTACAGCTCCGAAAAGAAATCGCCTTATGGCACGAGAATAATTATCTGTGCAAAAATCACATTCTGAACAGCCTTGCTGATGATCTGTACGACTACTACAGTAGCTACAGGACTGCTAAACAGGTATGGAAGGCTCTGCAAAGAAAATATGATACTGAAGAAGCAGGTGCGAAGAAATTTGCTGTCAGGCGCTACTTGAACTACAAGATGGTGGATGAGAAGTCGGTGCAAGGTCAAAGCCACGAAATTCAGAAGATTGCTCATGAGATCATTACAGAAGGTATGCCCCTCAATGAACAATTTCAAATTGCTGTAATTATTGACAAACTGCCCCCTGGTTGGAAAGATTTCAAAAATGTGCTTCGTCACAAAACAAAAGAACTTTCAATCGAGAGTCTGATAACTCGCCTCCGAATTGAAGAGGAGGCTCGGAAACAAGATCAGAAAGAAGAAGTCTTAGTTGTATCTAACAACAAAAAGAAATTCGGTGCGGTTCTGAAGCCTACAGGCAAACCTTTAAAGAATCAGAACCGCAATGCTATGAACCGAACTAAGAATGGGAATCCCTCTAGGGCCCCATCGGCTCCATTTGCTAAGCAACAGCCACCACCTCAAAGAAATGATGCTCCGGTTTTCTCTTGCTACAACTGTGGGAAACCGGGCCATATGGCAAAGAAATGTAGGAGCAGGCCTAAACCTGCAGCTGGCTCAAATGCTCAGGTCAACCTGACTGATGAGCAACTCATTGCCATGATCACTGAAATCAACATGGTTGGTGGAAGTGATGGTTGGTGGATAGACACTGGCGCCACTCGTCATGTCTGCTATGATCGTGCTATGTTCAAGACATACATGAATGCTGAAGATAAGAAAGTGTTGTTGGGAGATGCTCACACCACTAATGTTGCTGGAATTGGAGATGTTGAGCTGAAGTTCACTTCAGGAAAGACTTTAATCTTGAAGGACGTCATGCATGTTCCTGAAATTAGGAAGAATCTTGTTTCTGGTTTTCTTTTGAATAAGGTTGGGTTTAATCAAACTTTAGGGGCAGATCTGTACACCATCACTAAGAATGGTATTTTTGTTGGAAAAGGGTACGCCACTGATGGCATGTTTAAGTTGAATGTTGATTTGAATAAAATTTCTCCTTCTGTTTACTCTTTGTGTGACTTTAATATTTGGCATGGTAGACTTTGTCACGTTAATAAACGAATCATTTCTAATGTAAGCCACATAGGCCTAATCCCTAAACTAAATGTTAATGATTCCAATAAATGTGAATTTTGCAGTCAAGCTAAAATAACAAAAACTTCACATAAATCAATTATAAAAGAATCTGACCCCCTAGATCTTATACACTCTGATATATGTGAATTAGATGGAAGTTTAACTAGAAATAATAAACGTTATTTTATCACTTTTATTGACGATTGCTCTGATTATACTTATGTATATCTAATGAAGAATAAAAGTGAAGCGTTTGACATGTTTAAGGTGTATGTAACTGAAATTGAGAATCAATTTAACAAGAAGATTAAGAGACTTCGCAGTGATAGGGGAACCGAATATGACTCTAGCTTGTTTAATGATTTTTATGCTGAACATGGTATTATACATGAAATGACTGCTCCATACTCTCCTGAAATGAATGGTAAAGCAGAAAGAAAGAATAGGACTCTTACTGAACTTGTAGTTGCAATCATGTTAAATTCTGGTGCTGCACCTCACTGGTGGGGGGAAATTTTATTGACTGTTTGCTATGTCCTGAATAAAGTTCCCAAGTCAAAAAGTAAGATCTCACCTTATGAGATATTAAAGAAAAGACAACCAAATTTGTCTTATTTAAGAACTCGGGGCTGTCTGGCTTATGTCAGAATTCCGGATCCGAAACGAGTTAAACTCGCTAATAGAGCCTATGAATGTGTATTCATTGGGTATGCAGCAAACAGTAAGGCATACAGGTTTTATGACCTAAATGCCAGAGTAATTATAGAATCGAACGATGTTGAATTCTTTGAAGACAAATTTCCTTTCAAATCGAGAAATAGTGGGGGCACACAATCGAGTCACATTCATGTGTTAAAAAGCACCGAAAGCAGCGACAATGTAGAAACAGAACTTCGAAGAAGTAAAAGAGCAAGAGTTGCTAAAGACTATGGGCCCAATTATGCGACCTATAATGTAGAAGAAGATCCAATAAATCTTCAAGAAGCACTGTCATCTATGGATGCAGACTTATGGCAAGAAGCCATTAATGATGAGATAGATTCTCTAGAATCTAACAAGACCTGGCACTTAGTAGACTTACCCCCGGGTTGCAAACCAATTGGTTGTAAATGGGTTTTGAAAAAGAAACTAAAACCTGATGGAACGATTGAGAAATACAAGGCTCGCCTTGTAGCCAAGGGTTTTAGACAAAGAGAAAATATAGATTTCTTCGACACCTTTTCTCCGGTCACTAGAATTACATCCATTAGGGTACTCATTTCAATAGCAGCCATTTATAAATTAATAGTACACCAAATGGATGTTAAAACAGCTTTTTTAAATAGTGACTTAGAAGAAGAAATCTATATGGAACAACCAGAAGGGTTTGTGATCCAAGGATAAGAAAGCAAGGTCTGTAAGTTAGATAAGTCTCTATATGGACTAAAACAAGCCCCTAAACAATGGCATGAAAAGTTTGATAACCTAATGATAATTAATGGGTACAAAGTGAATGAAAGTGACAAGTGCGTTTATTACAAATCTGAGAATCGCATTTGTACTATCATATGTCTATATGTAGACGATCTACTTATATTTGGATCAAACATTCAGGCCATTAATGATATGAAATCATTGTTATGCAATAACTTTGATATGAAAGACCTCGGAGAAGCAAGCGTGATCCTGGGTATCAAGATCACGAGATCCGACCAAGGAATTTCTTTGGATCAATCTCACTATGTGGAGAAGATCTTAAAGAAATATAAATACTTTGATTGTAAACCTGCATGCACTCCGTATGATCCAAGTGTGAAACTGTTTAAGAACACTGGAGAAAGTGTCAAACAAGCAGAATATGCGAGCATCATTGGCAGTCTTAGGTATGCCACTGATTGTACTAGACCCGACATTGCATATGTCGTAGGACTGTTGTGCTGATTTACAAGTAGGTCGAGTAACGAACATTGGCAAGCTATTGAGTGAGTAATGAGGTACCTTAAAAGGACTATGGACCTCGGCCTACACTATCAGAAATTTCCTGCTGTACTAGAAGGGTATAGTGATGCAGATTGGAACACCTTATCGGATGATTCCAAAGCTACTAGTGGTTATATATTTAGTATAGCCGGAGGAGCTGTATCTTGGAAATCAAAGAAACAGACCATTCTGGCACAGTCCACAATGGAGTCTGAGATGATAGCATTAGCTACAGCTAGTGAAGAAGCAAGTTGGTTAAGATGCTTGCTAGCTGAGATTCCTTTATTGGAAAACCCTATACCAGCTGTGTTGATCCACTGCGATAGTACCGCGACTATTGCAAAAGTTGAGAACCGTTATTATAATGGTAAAAGACGTCAAATTAGAAGAAAACATAGCACTGTTAGAGACTGCATCTCTAAAGGAGTTGTGAGAGTGGATCATGTACGCACTAATGAGAACTTAGCAGATCCTTTGACGAAAGGATTAGCTAGAGAGAAAGTCCATAATACTTCCAAAAAGATGGGACTAATGCCTATAAAGTAATTTGTTACTCGTGATGGTAACCCGATCTAAATGACTGGAGATCCCAAGACTTAGGTTCAATGGGTAATAACAGGTTATGAGCAATATGAAAATGATCATGCAAGTAAAGCATGAATCCTGAAGTAATGAGAGGATGAGATAATAGAAACTCTTAATGAGATCTATACTCTGTATGAGGGACTACCTAGGCTACAGGAGCACTCTTGATAGATTCACCTATGTGACTGTGGAACTGAGGTCGGTTCCTATGGAATTTCGAGGCAGAATTCCTAGAGCATTCACTAAACCGGGATACATGTGCAGGGCCACTAAAGCACGGGCTACAAGAATACACCTTACGGAAAGGTTGTGTGCGGGTCTGATGTCCGAGATAGAGTTCAAGACAATGGTGTCACTCTTGTTGAATCAGAATCCTACTCGCTACGCTAAGGTTCAAGTCGTAGACACCTTTGCTTATGCTCAACCTTAGAAACGTCTGGCGTACTTCAAAAATCTCTTTTAAATTCAAGTGGGGGAATGTTGGAACTTAAATTGATTAGAGTGGGAATTGGAAACATTTGTTGACAATTAATGAGCAATAAATGAATACAAGTAAGAACTAATATAGAAGTGAATTTGAAAAGATTCATTTTTAGTCCCACGTTGAAGGGAATGAAAATTAAGATTCATTTTAGTCCCACATTGAAGGGAATGGAAATTAAGATTCACTTTAGTCCCACATTGAAGGAATGAAAATTAAGATTCAATTTAGTCCCACATTGAAGGGAATGGAAATTAAGCCTTACTAGCTGCCTATAAATACAGGGTAGAAATTCAGTAGTGAGCACATCGGATTTCACAAATTCACACGAATTTTGATTTCCTTCTTCTCTCCCTTTATTCTCTTCATCTTACATTTTTTTCTTTTCTTGACTGGTTATTTGCGCCAGATACTAATTTAGAAAGGTGTATTTCTAGAGCGATTTATCAGTGTGCAACTAATAATCGTAAGTTTTAAGAACGGGCTGTTTTATCATGGAGGCGTCGTCGTAAATCGACTGCTTTGCATAATTTGGCAGTACGGCGAAACGTCTTAAAGAAAGCGACCTAGTACGCGACTCGTCCCGATAATTTCCTTGTGCCAAACTCAATTTTTTAAATCCGAAAACAACAGATTATAATTTAAATATGATATTTATTTTTATTTTTCATATAAACATATTATTAAAACAATCAATATATAAATTAGTTAACAACTTTTATTTTTATTGACTAAAAAAATAATACTAAATTAGTGGAGTAATTATTATTAAGTAAATAAATATAGTAAATTAATAAAAAATCAAATTAGTGGAATAATTATTATTAAATAAATAAATAGAATAAATATAACAATTTACAGAATAAATAGAGTAAATAGAATAAATATATTAATTAACTAAAATAGAGTAAATAGAATAAATAGAGTAAATAGAATAAATATATTCTGTAATTTAAATATAAAAAAAAATTAAAAAATAAAAGAAAAAATATGAGCCGGAAGACTTGCTAAAAGTCTTCCGGTGAACAAACGAAAAAAATTATAATTTTTTATACGAGGGTATTTTGGTCCAAAAATTTTTAATGTAGAGATATGGGTATAATTGTAAGGGTATGAGGTAAAATTTCGTATAATTAATTAGAAAAAAAGTAACAAAGAGGGTAATATTATTGTTTCAAATTCATTAAAATTTCATGTATTGATTCTTGAATACCTACTACAGTAGAATATTCATGTGGTATTTTCTCAGATTTTGCACGTGTGATACATGTTCCGTCTATTTCTCCGAGCAAAATTCTTCGCATTGCAATGCCTATTGTATCTGCTTGACCTTTCAGAAGTGGAGACAGAATAAAGCGTCCATAATAAAGACGCTTATTGTGTACCCTTGATTCAACACACTTCCACTATAGTGTCTTAGAGCATCTTTAGTGGGAGTAAACTAAATGGGTAAACTAAGATACTTTTTGTGGGCCCAAAGTGATTTGTAGGATTTAAAAAATTATAGTTGATTTGAGTAGTTTTTACTTTAATGGTGGTTGTCTATAAGAAACCAAAACTTGACTCCACATTTTATATTTTTATTCAAGTTACCATTAATTTAATTATTTTAATTAAAATACATATAATTTTTTAAATAAAATTTACCTTAAAAACTTAAAAATAATATTAAATATATTTCATTATAAAATTAAAAATGATACAAAATTCACAACAATAATACATAAAAAAAATTACATTTTCATAGGAATATAATTATAATAAGGATTCGATTGGTTGGGATTCATTTGATAAATAAATAAAATTGGAAATTGAAAGAAAAAAATTTAGAAGTAAAACTATGGGTAAGAAAATTAAAATTTCTATAGAATTTATAGAAGGTAAAAAATGATAATATGACCGTTACTATTTTCAAATATCATATCCTTACTTTAATGTTATTGGAATATTTGGAATATTTTATTAATATTAAATAATATTATAATAGGTTTCACATAGTTAACGTTAACTATATAGATAATGGGAACTAAATTTTAGTTCATTGGATGCCATGTCAGTTCTCCTATAATGCAAATTCCTTATTACTAACGTAAGCTATAAAGAATTTTGGTTTAACAACCCTGCGTTAAAGTTGCTCTTAGTAGATACTTTTAGTTTTTCTCGAATCATAGTAATCTATTTTTATGAAACTCTTGATTTAATTGTTTATTTCTCTTGAAATCTTTTTCTTTCATATTTATTGTTAGTTTTACACACGTCTTTTTTTAGGAGCCCTACATCCATTATATGGTATACGGGTTACATCCCGTATAACGTTTAATAGTATCCCACTTTGAAAAATAACTCTTAATGCCGCATCTCTTTCTCGACCGGGACCCTTTATGCTGACGTCTGCTCGATGCATGCCTTGATCGACTACTGTTCGAAGAGCATTTCCCGTTGCGGTTGTAGCGGCAAATGGTGTCCCCCTTCGTGTACCCTTGAATCCACATGAACCGGCGGAGGACCATGAAATCACCCGACCTCCTACATTTGTAACAGTCACAATGGTATTATTGAAACTAGCTTGAATATAAATAACCTCCTTTGGTATTTTATGCAGATGCTTACACGAACCAATACGTTCAGTTTTCCGTGAACCAAGTTTTGGTATAGATTTTGCCATTTTTTTTATTTAAAAAAAAGTTAAGTCCGAAATATATGGATATATCCATTTCCTGTCAAAAAGGATTCTTTACTATTTTCTAACTAGTTATTCTATTGTATTCTATAATTCGATTAATATAGAATACCCTTTTTTCAAATATTAAGCCATAATCAACTCTATTTATTCGAATACTTATAACTATAGACTAGATTCGAATATAGAATCTAAATTTTTCGATTTGTATGATTTAGTATTTAAAAAAAGGGCTTTCCATTAATAAGATTTTGAATATTTTATATTAATTTAATGGAAAGCCCTTATTTATATTAATTTTAATATTTTATATTAATTTAATATTATCCTTGTCGTTGTTTATGTTTTGGATTCGAACAAATTACTATAAGTCGACCTCGCCTACGGACCAAATGGTAATAATTTTGCACGAAGAGGGTAATATTATCGATCTTTGTTTACTTATCTATCAGAATTCCCTCTTTCTTTTTTTTCGATCAAAAGGTAAAGTAAAAGCATTGAATATTATAAACCTTTTCCAAATTTTTCATAGATAATATTGATGATTAATGAATATATTACTTTAAATACTCTTTTTTTTCACTAGGAATTTTCTTATTGGCCGGTTTTCACTTTGTACTTTCCAATATTGGGACCAACCATTGTATTGTGCAAAGATTCAGAACAATTAAGAATATCCAATTCTATTTCTATATCCACTTTTTTATTAACCGAACCCCTTTACAAACAAAAGAGATAAAACAAACGAATAAGAAACAAAATTCATAAAGAATCTAAATATTTTTTATTCTTTTTTTTTGTATGGAATATACACATCAATCTTCATGCATCATACCTTTCATCCCTCTTCCAAATCCTATTTTAATAGGGGGAGGACTTCTACTTTTTCCCACGGGAACAAAAATATTCTCCGTATGTGAGCTTTTCCTAGTATTTTATTGTTAATCATAGTTATAATTTTTTTGATCAATTTATCGATTCATCAAATCGAGATATGTATGGTCTTGGACTATAAGTAATGATCTTTCTTTAGAGTTTGGCTACTTGATCGATTCACTTAGTTCTATTATGTCAATATTAATAACTATTGTTGGTATTCTGGTTCTAATTTATAGTGATAGTTACATGTCTCATGATCAAGGCTATTTGAGATTTTTTTACTTATATGAGTTTTTTTAATACTTCAATGTTAGGATTAGTTACTAGTTCCAATTTGATACAAGTTTATATTTTTTGGGAATTGGTTGGAATGTGTTCTTATCTATTAATAGGTTTTTGGTTCACACGTCCTATTGCGGAAAATGCTTGTCAAAAAGCGTTTGTAACGAATCGTGTAGGGGATTTTGGTTTCTTATTAGGAATTTTAGGTTTTTATTGGATAACCGGTAGTTTGAAATTTAGGGATTTATTTCTAATATTCAATAACTTAATTTATAAGAATGAGGTAAATATTATTTTTGTTACTTTGTGTGCCCTCTTGTTATTTTGCGGATCCGTTGCAAAATCTGCCCAATTCCCTCTTCATGTATGGTTACCAGATGCTATGGAAGGTCCTACTCCTATTTCTGCTCTTATACATGTTGCGACTATGGTAGCAGCGGGGATTTTTCTTGTAGCTCGACTTCTTCCTCTTTTCATAGTTATACCCTCCATAATTACTAGAATAGCTTTGATAGGTATAATAACAGTAGTATTAGGAGCTACTTTCGTTATTGCTCAAAAAGATATTAAGAAAATTTTAGCCTATTCTACAATGTCTCAATTGGGTTATATGATGTTAGCTTTAGGTATGGGCTCTTATCGAGCCGCTTTATTTCATTTGATTACTCATGCTTATTCAAAAGCATTGTTGTTTTTAGTATCTGGATCCATTATTCATTCAATGGAAGCTATTGTTGGATATTCTCCAGATAAAAGTCAAAATATGGTTCTTATGGGCGGTTTAACAAAACATGCGCCAATTACAAAAATGACTTTTTTAATAGGTACACTTTCTCTTTGTGGTATCCCACCTTTTGCTTGTTTTTGGTCCAAGGATGAGATTCTTAATGATAGTTGGTTGTATTCACCAATTTTCGCAATAATAGCTTGTTCCACCACAGGATTAACAATATTTTATATGTTTCGAATTTATTTACTTGTTTTTGAAGGATATTTAAACGTTCATTTTCAAAATTTCAATGGAAAGAAAAATAGTTCATTCTATTAAATATCTTTATGGGGCAAAGAAGAAAAAAAATTAAAAAAGAAAATTCATTTATTAGCTTTATTAACAATGAATAATAATGAAAGGACTTCTTTTTTTCGGGAGAGGACATATTCACATCGAAGAAATCGAACTGTCAAAAGCATAAGACGTCTGTTTCTTGATAGTAAACATTTTGGTACTAAACACATTCCTTTTTTTTATCCTCATGAATCTGACAATACTATGATCTTTTCTATGCTTGTATTAGTACTATTTACTTTCTTCGTCGGGTCCATTGGAATTTCTTTCAGCCAAGAAGGAATAAATTTGGATCTATTATCTAAATTGTTAATTCTGTCTATGGATCTTTTCCATCAAAATTCAAATAATTTTGTGGATTGGTATGAATTTTTTAGAAATGCAACTTTTTCGG